ATCCATCCATCCATCCATCCATCCATCCATCCATCCATCCATCCATCCATCCATCCATCCCTCTATCCATCCATTCACCCATCCCTCCATCCATCCATCTTTCTAATACCTATTTACTGGGTTCCTCTATGGTTTTAAATATCATCCATAGGCTAACTACTCCCAAATTCAAAGTTTGCAGGAATCTGAATCATCTGACCTTTGCTAATCTTTTTGACCCCACCTCCCACCTCTCTCCTCTTCACTCACTCTGTTCCAGTTTCATGGATCTGTTCCTCAAACAGACCAGACCCTTTGCACTTGCTGCTTCCTCTTTCTCAACAGCTCTTTCTCCAGACCCACACTGTTCAATATGGTAGCCAACTAGCCACGGGGGCTATTTAAATTTAGATCCATTAAAACGAAACTTAAAAAATAAGCTCTTCAGCCACACCAGTCATATTTGAAGTCCTCAAAAGCTCCAAGTGGCCAGCGACCACCACATTGGGCACTGCAGAGACAGGATGGAGCTAGACCTAGCATAGTGTCTGGCACACAGTAGGTGCTCAACCAATGTTGTATGCACCAGGCACTGTGTCTGGCCCTGGACACAGCAGCTGAAAATGGAACAGAGAAAGTCCAGTCCTGAATCTGCTGCTTTCCAGCTGGGTGATCCTGTTACAAGCTGCCAACCTCAATCTTAGCTATAAAGTAGGGAACAGTTTCATCTCTCATTCAGTAAAATATTACATCTAAGACACACACTGCATTCAGTAAGTGGGGACTGTTGTTATTATTAGCTGCAGCAGGAGGGCCCCAGCTCCGTGGCCGGCAAGTCCCTTCCCCACCTACGTAGCAGTGGGATTAGCCAAGTGGTTCTCAAAGTTGGGGACAAAAGTCATTGGTGGGCACAGGGTCATTTTAGGTGGTACAGGGATGAAGCGTAATTAACATCAAATTGCATCCTCAGACACCGTGTCACTGCCCAGTTCTCTTCAAATTCTGATTTTATCGATGGTGCTGATATGTTTTTAACACCTCTCTAATCCTCTCTGAGCTCACTTAAAAAAATGTTTTCATTGATTTTTAGAGGGAGAAGAAGGGAGAGGGAGAGAAGGAGACACACACACATCAATGAGAAAGAAACATTGATCAGCTGCCTCCTGCACGCCCCCTACTGGGGATCGAGCCCACAACCCAGGCATGTGCCCTGACCCGGAATTGAACCTGAGACGTCCCTGTGCATGGGCCAACAATGAACCAACTGAGCCACACTGGCCAGGGCTGACTCACTTTTTAAAACCCAAAGGGATGCCCTGGCCCATGTGGCTCAGTGGGTAGAGCATCGGCCCAAGTACCCAAAGGGTCACGGATTCGATTCCTGGTCAAGGGCAAGTACCTGGGTTGCAGTTCGATCCCCAGCCCCTCCCTGGCCCTGATCACGGGGGTGCATGGGAAGAGGCAGCCAGTGGACACATCTATGTATCTCTTCCTGTCTCTCCCTCCCTCCCTCCTTCCCTTCCACTCTCTCTAAAAAAA